TATATAAAAATCTGTATTTAGTAAATAGTTAAGAAYAATAACACAGAGGAGGACAATCAGAAAGATGTCTAGAGGCCAACATGTRAGGAAAGGAAAACAGAAGAGAACCCAAAGTGAGTTTAAAACATTGTTCTTGTAATTCTAAAAATATCTTTGAAAATCCACTGATCACTTCATACTCACTTATGCAAATGAAATCCTTGCTATTATTTCTAGCGGGAAAAAAAGTGTTTAAAAATTATTCCCCTGAARTTTAGGGCTTACCTGATGTAGTCTAAAGAAGCAGTGGGGCAGAATTACAGACAGTTGAGGAGAAATACCTCTCTGTGTGTTTGTGTGTGTACATCCAAGGTGATAATGAAGCCTTGGGTTTCCAGGAGGGATGCCCATGCCCAAAGCTCAGCTGCTCAGTTTTAGGTTGCAGCCACAGTGGGAATTTTGCAAGGCAAGCATCAGAGGAAGTAGCAAAACAGCGTGTTTGCTGAGCACAGGTGTGAAGCTTGACCAAGAGATCCATTAAAGATTGAAATGTAGTCAATATGGTCAAGTTCATGATAGTAAGGTCATAGCAATGTTTGTAACCAGGCTTAACTTGTATATAAATCAGCCATGGATGTGTTTGAGAGAAATGTTTTGGAACTGAGTAATTGCAAACCTGCCAGTGCTTYGCTCTTGTGGCCTGAGTTGCTTACTGGACCTCAGGTTCTTGAAGATCTTGAAAAATCTCTGAGCAATAATTGAGGCTGCAGTGTCACAGTAAAGCAAAGAAATGGAAATCTCAATCTGCATAAAAGAACTTGGAAATACACTGGAAAATGCAGGCCCTAGGTTCAACCTGTGTGGTAACCATTTCCCGGTCAGAAAAAAATTGCATCTCCTTACTCAGCAAAACAAGATTTGTCAGGGCTGAATCTTCCTCAAGATTCCACTGTAGAACTTGAAAAATAGACAGAAGTTGTTTAAGCATCATATTGACTAGGGACTGCATGTTAATTAAAATAAAATTACAAAATAATAGATGCAACCCTCCAAAAATGCTGRTAGTGACTGACGAACCTGTGTCTGCAGCCTTTAGGACCTTGCTGTTACTTAATTTATTTCAATTGTTTAGGAGCAAGAAGTCTAGAATAAAGATGTGTGAAAACATGAAGAAATGGAACTTTTCATTGTTGCCTCTGATTACTGGCTTGTTCCAATGGGCAGATTTGTTACCTAAAGCCAATTATTAAACTTGCTTTTGTGTATTAGCTGTAAATACTCAGTTCTGCATGGGTTTACCCTGCTGTGTTTATATGTGCAATTGATACAATTTTGCCAGGTCCATGTGGAATTGAATTACATTGCTTTACAAAATAATATGCATTAGTGTGTGTATATTCATATGTGTGTTTTGTTGCCATTTTTGAATAGCAGAGGAGTCAATTTCTAGAGGAGTATACTGTAATTCTATGAGCAGTAATTTCACTAGGTATTTATATGTCYAACTTAGTTATTCGGAATAATAATTAGAAAAAAAAACATATTAAGGAGTCTTCATAAAGAGAGGTTATTTGCTTTTTATTATTTGATTAAGCCCAATAGTAGATTTGAGACATGTTACCTTGGGCATTATATATTTATTTACAGTTAAAGCTGTTGTTATGTATTCCAGCTTTCAGACTCATTTTAAGTGTTGTCCTCTGAACTGAAGAGGTGTAAAAATAATTACATACTTTGCTATTCTGGGAAAGGGACTAAAATTTATGTATTATGCACTAAATTTCTTTTGAGTGGTTATAGGAAGGGAAACTGGGAAGAGAGAAAGGAGATGGGGAAGGTACTAAGCGGTAAGAAGGAAAGCCCCTTCAAYAACCCTGAGCAAGATTGCTGGCTGAGGGGAACTGTGGGCCTAGTACATCTCTATTACTAAAAGATTTCAGCTGTTTATGAACTATATCCATGCAAATCACTGGCTGCCTTTTCGTACTAAAGCTGTTCTTAGGTAATTTTACTTGAAAATTCTAAGTTGTAACTAAGCTCAGACGAAGTTGAGTACTATTGAGTTCACTGAGTCTGGTGTAAGATGCCCAGCTGTTGGGTAAAAATAGCAGGTTAACTTCTTGTGGTTGCTAAAAGAMTTTTAAATAAACAATTTGTTAAGAAGTTACTGATGCTGTGAAATATTCTGGGATGAGCATTGGGTTCTGCTTACAGCTGTTATTGGTTATCTAACGTATCCTGAGCCATTGYACGAATTGCTGCTTTTTATTCTGGTTTAGTAAATTATCACTGCTAAATTCTTGTTTGAAGAGAAGCTTTTAAAAATAACAGTGGTAGTCCACCAAGTCAAAGGTGAAAAAGATGGTTGGCCAACTGAATTGATCAGTTTTTAAAATGGTTGCAGGCTGTGTGGACCAGGAATGACTGAGATGTAGGCAGATGATTAAGTGTGTTCACATACTCCTCTCACAGGGTATGATCAGTTTCCTGATTGACTAGAAGACAAAAGCACCATCACATTAATTTGGAGTCTGTTATAAAGGCAAAATGGTAGAATTCCAGCCGACACTGGAAGTATGAAGGAAGTATATCTTAGGGTTTCTGAGGGGCTATTACAGAGACAATAAAGAGGTTTTTGCTTCAAGGTTGTRCCTTAACTAAATGGTCTGCCTCTTAAAATAAATAAAAGGTATGCCATGGTTCCTTGAGACCTTGATGGAAGAATTCATTTCTTTTTCTTTATGTTGCAAAGCCTTGAAACTATTCACTCGGAATGCTCTTTAGGGCTTGATCTCTCTCTTAATTTATTTTTTTAATATTTAATTGCATTATTCTTCAAAGAGTGCAGCAGCAGTGGTGAGGGGAGGAATGGGCAAAGGGTCAAGAGATATTAAACTTTAAAGGAAATTACAATTTTGCTAATTGTCATAGCAACAAAGGAGTAATGAATCCCRGTGAGGAAGCAGAGGGGGGTGGAGGGCGCTGGTGTGCACTCGCAGCAGTGCTGCTGAGCTTTCTGTGACACGAGGCAGGTCATTCTGGGAGCWTGGCTCTCTTATTTCCTAATTAAATGTTTTCAGAAAATGTGACTTAGTTAGAACAGCCCTGGAAATCTAGCTAATGCTGTCTGCTTGGGTGGGCTTTCATGCATTCACAGTTCATTTTTGGTTTGTGTCCGTGGAAGAGCTCTGCCCTCAGGTTGGCGACCAGAGCAGGAAATCGGCCGGGCTGCCATCGCTGACATCCTTGGCAGGTGGAGCATTCCTGTCACACCTTTGCTCTTGCTATAACAGACAGCAGCTGCTGTCACTTGTTTGGTCCCAGTCCTGTGATTTGTCCCTTTGTGAAGAACAAGTGAACTGCTGGGAACAGAGGGAGACTGTTTCCCTGGAGGAGCTGCTTATGAGACGAATAAACCTGGGGGAGCTTTTTTGTCGCTTTAGCTTGCCTGCTGTTGTTGGTGCAGTGGAAGTGGCTGTAGGAAAGGGAAGGGAAGGCAAGGGGGTCGCAGGTGCTTTGGGAAGGCATCTGGGAGTCCTCAGTGCAGGTGGATGAGGTGTTTCTGTGTGGAGCAGGATGTACCTCAGTCTCACCAAACAGAGAGGACAGATGGAGCCCGGTTTGCCTTCACTCAGAGTGTTATTGGAAGTGAAGACCTTCCTGAAAAGCAGCAATTAGCAGGAGGAAAGTTGAATGCAAACTTCTTTCTTTTGGTCCCTCTTAAGCCATTCTTCAACTCTTCAGTTTAGAAAATTRTGGTTCTGTTTGTGTTTGTTAATTCCAAATCAGATGGGATTTGTTTCTTGATGAAGGCTGTGAATCACTATGTTTTTGCATGCAATCTCCCAGGATTTCAGACCACACATAAACTACTGCACAAGATGTAGGAGATGCTCAATTAGCATGAATTCATTGCTCMTTCCTAGTATAGCTTATTAAAGGATGCTCTGCATTATTATCAATGTGGGTTCAGTTGGTCTGCTGCAACAGAGACAATAATTTCAAGGTAAAGAATGAACCTGTGTACTCCAGGCTTGCTACCTTTTGCCTCTACTGGCATGAAGAACTTCTAGCTATTGCTTAAAAATTGCAGGGATTGTTCTTCTGGATGTTTTCACCAATTTTTTTTTTTTATTACAGTGCCAGCATCCCATGATTTATTTGCTTGTACATGCACTGAAAAATTGAGCACTGCAATCTTGCTTGCAGATTAGCAGACAAAATGCCATCTGGAGAATGCTTTAATTGGGTGTTGGTGACTGTGGAAAAAGTCATGGTATTACCAGGTCAAAAGAAGTGACCATATAATAAAATACACGTGGGAAGAAGACAGAGAATGACTATCCCTGTGTGTAAAACTGCCTTATCTGTCTGTGGTTAAGACTTGGCAACAAAATTAATCACCAAATGTTATGGGGACAAAAGCAGCTGCACTTCACAGTCGGATTTCTTCTCTGTCTGTGTAAGCCTTTGCCACCCACATAAATACTTAAAAATTCACGAGTTGATAMTTCACGCCTGAATTTCCTGTTTATGCTAAATTTGTGTCTCTTTATCCTGTGGATAAATAGAACAGTAAATCTCTCTTCAAAGTATATTGGTAAGGGCAGGCGGTGCTTAGAATTTCAAAATTTAATAAAAAACATAGCGATAGTTGCACGTTGTGCTAAAAATAATATTTTTATTGTTCATAAAAAGTTTAGATTAAACTTGCAAAGACACAAAACCATCACTGAACTGTAAAAAAAAAAAAAAAAAGATAGATGGTATTACTTGTACTTCTGGGGTTTTTTATTAAATATTTGAGATCCTCTAAAAACAGAATGGTGACAAACACATTTCAGCTTGGACAGTTATTTCATACGGTTTCTCATGGCCTAATGTTAACAGAAAAATTTTAGTAGCTCCTGCTTAAGTGTATTTTCCAGATCTGATTGGAAATTATTTTGTGCAGAACAATTTGGCTAAAACATCTGCCAAAATGCTTATTTTTCTTTCCTGTTTTTTTWAATCTATACTAGGATGTTTTGAATAACTTGGGYTCCTGTGAGTTGGATGAAGATGACCTAATGCTTGACTTGGAGTTCCTGGAAGAGCAGCATCACCATCGTTCTGGTAAGTCAGATAAATACTGACTGTTTTCAGTGAGGTATTGTTATTCTAGAATATAAAGTAAAAACATTCAGTACAATTACTTGGAAATAAAAAAGTAATTTTCTTGGAAGGGGAAGAGCAGTATTCATTTTTTAGTATTATTTCTAAGTGTGTTTGTAATTAATCAGAAAAATGCTCTTTACACAGCACTTGGACTTCATATGGYCAGTTATGAAATGGAAGTGATTTTTACAGCTACAGAACAATTTCAGTACCAAGGGCAGACCCATCTGGTTTTCTAAATATTTGAAATGACTGCTGCTTACCTCAGGCACTTACCAAAAAGAGCATTTGCTACAAYAATTGCGATCACATTTCACGTCTGCCAGAATAATATTCTTTAAATAAAGGTTGGCTTGACACAGGAGTGTAACTTGATTGTTTCTCATGGTTGGTTAAAGCCCTATTGCACTCCCTTGATGAATAGCAATAAACCTTTGCTATGTTCTGTGTTCACCACGATTTTGTAACAGGATTGTGCAAGGTAAGTTGAGGGACCTTCAGTGAGGAATGCTGCATTTCCTTTGCCTGGAGTATGGGACAGCAGGGCCTTACTGAATAGAAGACGTCCTGCTAACTCAGCAGGTTTTGGAGAGTCTTCACATATCTGTGAGGTTTGTACTTGATCGCAGGTAGAGTTCTGAGTTTGTTCTCTGCTCTGATGCTCTGTTTTGACAGTGCTGTGCATTTAAGCACGGGTTATTCTCACCCTCTCTTCTACCAGCTGTTCCCTGATCCCAATTTCTCCATTCACCCACGTGGGTGCCTGCAGTGCACATGCTTGCAGACTCATGGGGAAGTGGGTTTTTTGAGACATGCTGGCTCAAATGTGTACTGTCTTCTCTTCTGGTCCCTTCTTAGATGCAAATTTAGCAATGGTTACAGATAAACTGCTAGAATTATGCTCCTCTTTGGTATTTTCTATCTATGATTATTCTGCTAACATATCTGAATTATCTCTATGATAATTCTGTTTGGCCACTGTACTCTGCTTTTTAAACCTGTTTGCATATCTACTTACAGGATGAAACATGTTTTATTTGGTAGAGACTGTGGAGGGTTGCAGCAGTAATATGTGCATGATCATAGTTTTCTAAATTATTCAGAGTTGGGATGCAGCAAATACACTGCACAGAAAAGGCCCTTTCTAATCCATACTGAATAATGCTATTAACCAGTTACARAAAGTAATGATGGGTAGAGAAATTTTATAGGAAATCGTATGGGGTGCAGACTTATTTATTCCCTGGGCATGTTGGAAACAAATTAACTGGCAGAAAAATTTTCCATAAATAAACTCCCCTACTATGTTGCACTTGGCCTGACCTTTGTTTTTCTTCTTTTTTTACAAAGCACTAAATTTACAGTGAAACAAAAGTTATGTCCAGTATATGATTACAAAGATTTGCAGCAGCTTCTAGAACAGCTGAGACATTATTGTCTGAATGACATACTTGATAGAGAAGTAATTAAGATGGAGATGTGATATGACACATAATCTTCCTGGTCTTGGCTCATTATCCAGAGCAAATGAGATGCTTTAAAAACAGACATCTACACCGTCCTTTGAAAAATGGTGACCATTTCTATTCTGTTCAGTAATGTAGAGACATGCATTGCAGTCTCATCAGCAATGTGCATTGTCTTTAAAAACAAATGTGTTTATTTTATTAATATTTGCTCTTTGGTTTCATTTGTTTCATTGTGAATCTAGCTGCAAAAAATTTAGGAATTCCCCAGCTGTCATTGTTGGTTTGAAGTCATTCAGTTGGAAGAAGGATTTGGAAGGATAGAGCCATAGGATGAGTTGACTCAAATTCACCAAATAAAGCTGATTTCTTTATATTGCATTAGGATCTGACACAAAATGGTTAGTGTAGTTGTAAGTCATCATCTTAATTTGTGTTAAGATATTGAGGTAATATGCTTGGTTTTTAGTGATTTAGCATTTGAATACCACTGACATGCATAAAAGCCTTGAATTAGATACTGACGTCTAAACACTTTTAACAAATTGCTTTTCTGATTCCTCTGTTAAATTGTGGCCAAATGCCAGGATGTAAGACTTTTCAACAAAAATTCTTTTTAGTAATTCCAAGTCAATCCATTCTCAGTTTTYACTTCTGGGCTTATTTGTTTTCTTTCAAGAGGCCTAAATATATACCTAAATAGAAATACTTCTAAACTTTAATTAAATTATATTATCAATTGCTTTTGATGCAATTTTTCTACAGGCACCAGAAAACAGAAGTGATCAAGTGATCATGTTGAAGATATACAGTTTATTTATTGCACAGCTTGAAACTTTTATGAACTTACCAAATTGAAAGTGATCGTATTTCTGGGCATGTACATATAAGCTCTTTCAGGTAATTGGGAGGCAATGTATTTTTTTTTTTACAAGATCTTTAATCCTACCTACTTCAGAAACAAGAATACAACAGACTGCACCTTGAGGATGAGCCAATACTGTTATCATGGAATATATTATTCTGATGGAAATTGAATAAAACTAATGGACTGTTTAATTCTTCAGGTGTGTAATTGGCCTGAAGAGTAGATGTTTTTCTATAATTTTTGCCAGTAGCAGGTTTGTTGAACTCTTTTTTAAGGCTTCTTTARAAGGATGGACTTGAGAGTTTACTTATGGTTTGCTTCACTGAAATTCAGTGAAGACAATTGCAGATGTACAGATCTGAGGCTTCTTTTCCCCGTGGGTATGTGCTGTCTATCCTATATAAGATTCAGCCCTATGTTATATCAGCTTTAAATATTTWAGCCTTTTTGTTGCAGTATTTGTTTACCTTCATAACAAGTTCCTCATGTTTCTCTCATACTTTCAAGGAATCTGCATATCTGACATTCACACGTATGTCATACTGAAATCAGCTGAGAGTCTTCTTAATCTGCTATCAAAATAGAAGTGTTCATGAGTATCAAAATATGAAACAAAGTGCTGCTTTTTGAATGGAAACATTAAAATGATGCTTTTCTGGAAGTCAAAGGTGTTAGCACTACTGTGACTTTGTAGTACAATGGAAGTCCTGTTGGTGTTCTGCATACTGGTGCTGATTATTTGGTAAAGGCCCTCAGTCCTAGAGCCATATTGCCATTCACTTGTGCCTCATTTGGCTCGTGATTAGCAATTCTGTGGGGAATTACAGTGGGCAGAAATATTCCAAAGGAAGCTCTGTTCAGTATTTTAACAGATTGAAATATGAAGAGGTATAACTGGGAAATTACTCAGTTCTTTCTTCAGTTGTTACAGAAGGATAACTAAGGAATAGCTAATAGGCCATTATTAAAAAACCTATGAAAATTTCTGATGACAAATACAAGGGCTAAAATCACATTTTTAACTTGAATATCACAAACCTTTCCTTGGTCTGGAGGCTGTATACAGCAAGCTGTGTCATTTAAACATACCAGTTCTAAAGGGTACTGCCCCAGTTAATAAATACTGTGTTGAGCTGATTAATGGCAAATTGAGAAATTCCCTTAAATGCCATTAGGAGCTTTAGTTTCTTAGAGATTTATTAGTTAGGACACGATTTACAATAGTTTCTGGTTTTAGCTGCAGAAYGGTATTTGTTAGTGTGAGGGTATGTCTCCCACTTTCTCCCACATTGAAGCTGACAATGTAACACTAATTCAACAAAATAATTGTACTGTATTGATCTACCATAACTTTAGTGACTGTTTATGMATAGAAAATAAGATTATATGGGAAAGATTTCTGGGAGAATTGGCAATTAAGGGCTTTTGAAGAGGAGCTAAGAGTCAGCTGGCAGGCAAGGAGACATTGTTCCAGAGAGTGGAACTCTGTATTAATTAAAATATAGAGATAGAAAGGAAAAATAGACAAAGATCTGTTACCTCTTCCATTCTTAGTGGTGTTTTTTATTTATTTATTTATTTATTATTCCAACTCATTTTTTACTCATTCACGTTTTCCCGAATGAGATGGTTGCCCTCCAGCAGCATCCTCATGAAATGGGGTTCCTACAAAAAGGTGCTATAAATTCTTATGAGCACTAATAAATTAAAAAATATCCTTAACTTTTTCTCTAACCATACAATAGAAGATAAGGAGATACTTTCTACTTTGGATGTAGATGTCTCTGCTTTGTTGGTCTTAGCACGGCTTTAGAAGTTTGGATTTCCCTAATTTCTGAATTTCTCTCTGTAAGGGAATTTACTGCTTTAATTTACTATTTTGTTTCTGTATTAAAGGGTGTATTGTTGAGATAAAGAATGTAAGACAGAGACATTTTATTATCCCACCTAACACAATTGCTTTGAAATTTAATAATATTTATACAGTACTTGGTGAGTGCAGAGCGCTGCTGCATACAAATTCAGAATATTAATCAATGTGATTTGCTGAGAGTTTTGCATACTGTTCTTAAGCTGGAATGCTTAAAATGAAACCTAATATGACATACATGATGAGTCTTGAGGGTGCCTTTTTATTAATCTAAGTAAATTAGACTTTTAAAATATGCTGCAGCSTTGATTTCCTGTTGTAGAATAATGAAGTTAGCGGTTTCTATAGCAGGAAACCATTGCAGGTTTATAGAAAGTGACAGCATTAATTTAACCTCATTCATTTTCCTTCTCCCCCGTGAAACCCGACGTGTTTGATTCCAAGTATTGATTAGTCAGATGTATGAGGAAGACCTTTATGTTCAGTGATACAAGCAGTGGGGAATTTATTCAAGTAATGCACATTAATGTGTRTGAGTAGAGTGCTTGCGTTGTTCCACAGCCTATTGGAAACCAAATGGTTTTATGTGGTTGGTTTTGTCATTAAATCAGTAAATAGCAGGCTTTTCTGAAAGTTCACGAAAGCACAGCTTTGGTAATCTTTTAAGTATTTGCCATTGATGGCACAGAACAGGTGCCTTGCACCTTCCTGCAAAGATGTGTGTGTGATGCTGGGATTTGCAGTGAGCAGCCTG